TCATGTAATTACAAACAGTAGGGACTATCAATGTATATCCCATATGCAATTCTAATAAAATTCCTTCGGCAATGTAAACCGCCTTAATAACAAAAAAATTACTAATTTTTTATATAGTAAACTAATTTAAATAGATAATTTTTTTTTTATTATAACTTTTTTTTTTTTACATAATAATCATAGTTGAAATTTTGTAAGTTTATATATCAAAATTACACTAAGACAATGTTGTTATAGAACATAGATGCAAATAGTAAACAGTTCAGGATGAGACATTCTAGACATATCTGCTAATATTTTTTTGTCTTGAACAATTAAAATTATAATAAAAATAGCTATATTAGCTAATCAAATTATTCAATAAACAATATATATAAGACAACTATTACAGATATAAGATATTGTTTAGAACATAAGACACTGTTTGGAACTGTTTATATTTATGCAATTTTAACAAGACAATATCTGTGTACAATGCTGCACCAAAGTACTTGAGTAGTAATACAAAAAAATATTTATTTTAATTGGTTAATTTAAAAATATATCAAAAAATTTTAATTTTTTAATTTTTTTTTTTTAAAAATTAACCAACTTTGAGATTTTTTTTAAACAATATGTAATCAAAAATTGATTTAATTTTTTTTTATAAATATATTCTATAAATCTTCAAATATTAAATATATTTATTTAATTATAAGTTAATATGTAAAATTTTATGTAATTACATTTTAATTTAAATATATCAAGTTGATATATCATGCTTAATGAGATGACCAATACCTTCTATTAAAATTTTTATAATAGAATATAAAATACCCGAAGGATATATCCTATTTAAAAAAATTTTTAATATGAAAAATTACTATGGTCCGCGCTGTACGGTAGATTTAAAATTTTTTTTAAACAAAATTTCATTTACAAAAGTGTTAAATTTAATACAATGATAATTACTTTCGGCATATAGAATTTCATTGATAATTTATTTCACTATTAACTTCTAATCGCTTCAATTGTGCTTTTAACTCTTTTCCAATTTTTTCGCAATTAACAATCAAATATTGTTCAAACTCTTTTCTAATATTATTTAATTCTAGAGTTATTGGTAATCGTCCGTCTGAACGAACTAATGATGGGTTCAATAGCATATCAAATAATCTACCCCATAGATTTCCTTGCCAATAACGTTTGAAAGATTGTATTGGCCTATATTTTTTTGTCGAAAAAGTAGCACCTGGTGAGAATGATTCTTCATCCATTCGTACGGGAATGATTTGCATATACTCATTATGTAGCATGCAATGTATTACCCCGGCCAAACCATAATAATCCGCTTGCCATTTCCATGGTCTACCTTCTCTCATTTCCACACAATTTTGGTCATCACATTTCCAATCAGCTATAAATTTCATATCAGAAGGAAATAATGTAACATCTATTGCTCTTCCAAAGTCTATTAGTTTAATACCTTTCTTTGACCATCCATGAGCACCTGACGGGTCATATTGTGCGTCCCATTCAGCTGTTCGCTCTAATCTCAACAGACAATTGTCTGCTTTTATATCACCATGAATTATTCCCGCTTCATGAACCGCTTCAATGACTTTCATAAGTTCAACAGTGAAGAAAATTACCAAAATTTCATCCATTGTCGAATTTTCTCTTTTAGCCGTGTTTATAGCATCCACAATCGTTCCATGGTAACAAAGCTCTGTGACTAAATAACTTTCATCCTTATAGTAATACAAAGAATGTGCTGTTATTATGGAATCGATTGTTGGTGAAATGATTCTTTCATGTAATTTCCGAATAATATAAAATTCCCAAGCGGTAGAAGGTATTTGAAGCTTTAACGCACGTGATGCCTGTGGGTATTTATTATTTTCGGTAGCAATATTCATATCCAATACACGATAAACTTTACCATATGCACCTTCACCAATCTTTTGCCGGATTAAAAAGGAATCATTAAATAATCTTATAGGTTCATCTAAATTAATTGCGCTACTAGTACGGCGTCGCCAATTTCGAGCAATTCTTTCTAATTTCGCGTGATTATTTGAACTTTCGCTTTGCATATCATGAAAGCCAGGATATTGTACCAATGAAGGGTTTAAAGATGACAAAATCTGATTAATTAATCTTGTCTCCAGTGGATTGCAAGGATTTGATGGCATAGGAAACATCATAGACAGTATATTTGAAGTCGTGCATTCTTCTGATTGATATAATGATGTATTGGAATTCGACCTATATTCCCTGCTGGTTTCTAGTATCGGTGATAATATGTCAAACGGAACTTTTATAAAGTTACCATGCTCGCTAACTTCACG